GGGGGGGGGGGGGGGGGAATAAATCTTTATATTTTACGTCATTACTCTCTAACCACAAGATAGGGGAAAATAATAATGCATCTGATTGGTTATAAAGAAACATTAATGCTTTAATACTTTATGTAGGTGCGTAGGTGCATGGTAAAAGATATATGATTATATAAGTAATTTAATTAGAAATTATGTCAAAGAGATGAAAAATATTAATTGGGTGCTAGAAATTTTCCCTAGACTACAAATTCAATTGAAATTTAGTATAGCAGTATTATATTTGATCCAGTAAACATAGCGTCCAAAGTCAAAATATTTTAAAACATGGTAAATTCTAGTATAGTTTGGGTACAAAAATCATTTGGGCGCCTTGAACCCATTTTAGACCAGAATGCACCTTGTTTGTCAGTATAGAAAAGACCCAACCCTTTCTAGTTTGATTCCACATTTTTCGTGTCTATATTACCAGAGCCAGACCAGAATGCAATTATGTTTACCTAAAAATTATTAACCCCAAGATGAAAATCTCTGGCACTCAGATAACAAAAATATACAAAGAACAAAATTGATTTAACAAAAGGTTTTAGACAAGATGATTATAGATAAATCTATTCCGTCAAACTTGTAATGCTCCCATGTTTGATATTTCATGATATTATAAATAATTTTTAGTTATTGTATAAGTGGTCGTAAAACCAACATACTAAAAGTTAATAATGAATGACTGTTTAAAATAAGAAAGAAAATCTTGGAATTATTATTGGAATGTGCGTGGTAAGGAAGTGAGATGATATAGAGGTGGGTCGCGGGGTGGAAGGGGTGTGGTAAGAAAAGGAGATGATAGAGTGGTGGTTGGGGGTGTGAGCAAGGGTATTTTTGAGTATTGGGCAGGGTGGGGTTGAGGGGTGGAGTGTGAGAGGGAAACACTCGTTACACTCTACCATCAAGAAAAATGATTATAAAAAAATAGAAAAATTGTTTACGTTTCAAAAATTTGAGGATGTAAAAAAGATATGAATATGTGATATTACTTTGTAAAATAAAAAATTATAGGATGTAAATCGACGTTTTCCACACGATTTTAAATGCGCAGTCTTGCTTTTAGAGCCTCTTTAGGGTATCAAAATACATGCGGCGAATCATCCAACTATTATTGGAGTGCTATCCAATGAACGTACTGCCGGAAGTAAAAGCGCGCGCAATTACTCTACGGAGGCCAAAAAAAACGCAGGCCCTAGGGACCAGGACAAGTTTGACCACTTCCGGTCCCAGAGAATGCGTTCTTTCTAATTAGGAAAACAAAGCATCTGGGAAGTACACCCCAGAGCCCTGTCATACACTGCGCACACTGGATGAACTCGAGTCTCACCAGGGAGAGACAGACTAGAGACTTTTAACGAGGATTGTTGGAAATTTTTTGTGTGGGCTAGAATCGTCCCTTTTGCTAACGGCTCGGTTGACGGGGATAATCATATTTCTCTATGAGAAAGTGTGGATGCAATTTCCAATCCAACCAGCCCCTAGGATTATATGATACCGTAGGACACGACCTTTACTGTCACAGTAATTACGAATATATTAATTAGAATATTAATGTAATAATAATAATAAACTTTAACTTTATTCACACACGGTTTCTACCTTATTAAAAAATAGATGCTCTTCCCGAGAGACATACCTGTCTCATTTAGAGTCATTAAAAGATGTTTTAGATAGATGCAACTGAAATGCTACTCACTCAATGAACTTTTTATCGACATTGAGTCTATTTGGGTTATGCGCGCGTTTGCATTCGCGTTCGCTAAATATCGCGCGCTGAAGGGAATTAGAACGTTACGTCACAGTGCTCGATATGACAGAATCAATTACAGAACTAATCCTGTCAGGTCAAGTGTAGCAGTTATTTAACAAGGGACACGTTTTGTGCTCCAATAAGACATTATGACAGCCCCTAGGAAAGTAAGAACGCCACTTCGAGCCATCGGGCAGGTGAAGAGAGTCAAGAGACGAAGAGGAAAGATCAAAAGTTTTGACGAAGAAGGAGCACTACCGAAGCCCGACCCTTCCAAGGTTTACTTGGAGGATCCCATCGAAATAAAGCGGAAAAACGAGGGCATGACAATGGACGTTTTTGACTTTTGGGACTATTTGAATCGAGCATATTGGAAAGGAAGACTGAGGATTTGCGATGGTGACTTGATGAGAAAGCTGATCGATTGTTTCGATGATTTGGTACAAAATAAGATTCTTGCTAAGGTCGTCACGACAAGAAATTTTTGCAGACGTGATAGAGATGGAGGTTCGGTCCATTCTTTGTTCAACGAAGAGGAGAAACAGTTCTGGAAAGAAAAGGTGAGCAATAACCTTTTTTAGCTTTGGCGTAATGTTTTCCCATTTCAGACCGGTGTGTCATTCCCTAGAGTATCATTTCTTTTCAACTGTTGTGCATAAGAAAATATAGATACAACTCAAACATAGATTCGTATTTTCAAGAAAATGAAATGGGAATAAACATAACGCAAGCTAGAAGGGTCTATCAAAAACTGGAGCACTTGTTGAGATGTTAAACGTCTTTACCTTGGGCGTAAAGTTTTCCCATTTCAGATAAAATGTCGTTCTCTTGAGATAAGATCTTCATTTGAGTCGTATCCATATTCATGTGTCTTCTTATGTGCTACAGTTGAACAAAGAAATAATACTCTTCTGTAATGGGAAAAAAATTACGCCTTAAGAGAATTTTGCTTTATTTTAACAGAACAGTAAACAATTTATGAATGATTTTCCGAGATCAGAGCTTGAAATTCTGAGATATTCTAGCTAATTTGTTGTGCTTGTGTGACATAGCAACGGTAACCAAGGGAAGGAAACATGAATGCTGTTTAGAAATCGCCAAGTAATTTCTGTTTTTTATTGTTGTTGATGTTTTGGGTTATTTTTTTAGACAAATAATAAGTCCAACCTTATTAGGCGAATCATTGATTGCACAAATGATTTCAACTGTTTTACCTAACATTTTTGTTTGATTTTTGTTTTTTTGTTTTTTTTTTTGAAGGCTCTCCACGTTAAAGCAACATTCACGTATTATGGAGGAACTCCAATCAAAAAGCACCGTAAAGTCTCCTTTGCAACATCGCCTAACACAGTCTTTACACCTCATATTCGACACTCGCTTCCTATTATGAAGCGCAGACACGATCCCCTTACAGCAGATCCAAAGGTAGGTTAGCAAAGTGCAATACGTGGCCTATAGACCTCTAACTTTGGCGCATGTAATGTTTTCCCATTTCAGACCACGTGTCATTCTCTTGAAAATAAGATTCTTTGTTTGAGTTGTATCCATATTCATGTTTCTTCTCATAAGCAACCGTTAAACAAAGAAATGATACTCTAGGGAATGGCGTACATGGTCTAAAATGAGAAAAAATTTCAGTGCAGATAAAGAGGTATATTGTTTTGAGAAAAAAACGAACTGGGTCTTCCTTATTTCCGCACTGGGAAAATTATATCAGGACAAGGAAAGGATCCAGGATTCGTTAAAAGGGGTTAAATGTAATTACAGGGTGAGGGTCGTATCTACCATTGGACACTGCTGCGGTTTCAAAGGAAATGGAAAACATTTCTCCGATACTCCCCTTTTTTACGAGGGGAATATGGTTCTGCAACGGGATTAAAGTGGTCTGGTTAAAACCGTGCCAACTGTTGTACTGGTGGCTCGGCCCTCAGGGTATCTCGCGCCATTTCCACAAGAAACACATAAAGATTGACCAGGCTATGAATTAATGACACACATGCCTCAACTTTGCCGCTCGGAGAGTCTAATCTCGATCTTATCCTAAAACTTGTCTTTTATCTCAATTGAAGGATGAAGCCATATCAAAACTGAATACCCAGTTTACATCGTTTTTTCCTCGACTCGGCTGGGACAGCAACATCACGTGCCAGTCAGACACAAGTGAGTGGTTCATTTCACCTGTCTCAGAAGACTTAGCGACCAAGTGTATCAAAGCGGCCCAAGACTTCCTGATCATCAAAGAGCAGTTTACAGACAGCGAGACTTGGCGGACTGTTACTAGTATTACAATCAGTAGAAAAGAAACAAGGTACAAAATGTATCGTGTAGTGAAGGGAATGAAATCCTTCTACACGTCTGCGGAGTTTTCTTTGCATCGTTATGCATTGGAGAAGAGATCAGAAATACCTAAATCAAGAGGTCTCTTTGCTTTAAGGCCGCGAAAAAAGATTGAATATGTGGTTGCAACGTCACGCAATCCACAACTGAGGCGCACTGTGTTGCCAAGAATAGAAACAGAAACAGCTTGATATGATTTTAACTTTATTAAATTGATTTTCACATTTCTTCAAATTGATATCCGAGTACTTTCATGAAATGCCTGGTTTCATGTACACTTGTTTGTTTATTGAGTGTTTGTTTGCGCATGCGCTTAGAAAGGTCCTGACAAACGGCTCAACTTTTGAACATTGGTTGGGTCAAATGTTAGGACTGCTTGTTATGGTCTATAAACGATTTGGGGTCAAAATGTTAGCTAATTGAATCAAAATGTTGGCTTAATTTGGGTCAAATGTTGGGACCTCCAGACTGTTTTAGTCTCCTACTCTATATTTTCCAGGGCAAAGTTCTTTCTTGCACGGGTAGCACACCAGAAACATCTTTTGACTGCATGCGCAGCATCTCGATCTTGTATATCAACAAACAAACCAGCTATTGGAATAAGCCTTCTGTGAGCTTATTAGTCTCCTGCTCCATAGTTCCCGGGGCAAAGATATTATTACTGGTATGGGAAGCTTGATCTGACATCTTAACTATCACCCACTTGCTCATTAAGACTGCGCAATAACTGAACATGCCACCTTACGTGTTTCAATACATTTATTAACTTATTTTTTACTCATTAGATTACTATACATTATTTTTTTGATCATAAAGTATGTACATTTTCGTATTGCAGATAACCATCATTATTTTAGTCGAACTGGCAGCGTTTTCTTGACGCATACAGCATTGCTGTTGCAAGAGTTGCAAATCCATGCCTTCCTTGCGTAGAACATTTACATTGTTCATGCAGCACAAGTTCTTCTTTTTGACACAGTTGTCAGTGAATTGCGGCGGTATAAGTATAGAGCCTGACTATGAAAATCGTGACTCCGAGATCGAGAAATAGTCCCTTTCACAGTTCCCTGCGCCATCTTGTAAGTTTGCTGTACCTTTGTATCGAAGCGAGACGCACGGTCAGCTTGCAATGATAGAGACGTGAATAATTGTCCAAGGTGTTAGGAAAAGGTTTCTATCATTGCAAGATCTCGCTTCGATGCAAATGCACGGCCACCTTTCAAGACTGCGCAGGGAACTGTGAAGGGAACTATTGTTTCTCGATCTAAATATGTTTGTTCTGTCCCAGATGTATCTTCAAACGATCCGTGATATACCCAGTCTACCAAAACACTGGCCCAGCATCATAATACGTTTGCCACTCCTTGAACACAAACGGTGCGAAAAGTTCATCTGGGTACTTTCTAGTCATGCGACTCACGCAAATCGGCTCTAGAATTTTATGCGCAGAGAAGAGAACCTTAGGACTGTACCATTCTGACTCCAGACCAGTCAATGATAAAACATAAGGAACAAAGAGTTCCTCACTTGAGTTCTTTCTGGTGATTTCAATTACATCAATTGGTACTAATTCTTGTCGTGCTGTTCCAAAGAAAAGCCGGCTGTTACTCTCCAGAATCTTCGCTTTTCCTTTTCTCTTCTTTCTCAAAAATTTGACAATTTTCTTCAAAAGCGTTACGAATTCTGTAAACGGGAGAAAATATCAATAAAATCCTTTCAGATGATAAGGATTAATCCGTATCCAATATCCGATTCAAATTATTTCCAAACATTAATTATTGATTCCTAGGACTTCTTTTAAGAAAATTGGGATTGCCAATACCAAAAACATTGCTTGCAATTCATTGTACGCGAAAGATAAAAGGAAAACCACATAGTCAAAAAGCCTTGCTTGGACATACAAACAAAAACCTAATACTTACTCATTTTCCTATTTAAAAGCGGTTTATCTTTAACTGAAAGTAATTCGACAACAAACTTTTATCCTTTAGTATTAAATCTTCCACTTAATTGTTCAACCTTGCTGCAGTCTTTTCTCGTGATCACAAAAGTTGCATTTTGACTTTGACATCACAAAAGGCTTTGGTTGAATGTCACTTTCCGCGCGCTCACCATCACAAGCAGCTTGCACGCGCTTTTATGTGACGAGGTTCTTCGCGCGCAAAGCTGCAAGCATTTATCTTTTTTAACAAATTTTGAATTTAAAACAGAATGGTACAATCTTGCTCATTTTCGAAAGCATAAGAGTGTACCCGAAGAAAATATGTCAAGAAAAGTGTAGGCAAAGTTTGGTAAAATTACATATCTTTGAGAGTTTTCGCTGATTGGATTCACGTCACACATAGTACGCATCGTCCATAGTGCACTTGGCATGTAGCATGCAACATGCAATACAACCTTTACAAACCTCTTTTCATTGAAATAGTTGTATCTACCGAGTAAATCCCAGACATTAAAATGGTTTATTTATTCCATGTATTCTAGTTCTTATAATGAAATCTTTTTATTTCTATATTTTCTTTTTGCATCAAGTTGATGTACTTCATTTGCGTCTCAAAATTTTTTATTTCCGTGGAAAAATTAGAAGAGGATTGGGATTTATTTGGGAAGTGGGGGGAGGGGGGGGGATTAAAAAATCGTGCTCAAGAGGGTCGGGCTCACGCAAAATTCGAGTTTCACTCACTGCATTTTTACAACAAACAGAATGAAAAACAGTGGGGTATTTTAAATTGCACAACAGACAGGGGGGTCAGATATCTCGTCTGGGTTACAGCGCAACTACCCCCACCCCCCTCGATCAAAATTGAACGGTCCCTTCGGCGAGTAAATATGATGAAGTGACCCACAAAAATATACATTCTCCTTTAAATATCACACGACAGACTTCCGTTGTTTTTCCTCAAAACATCAATGAAAACACTTTCTGGATTTTTCCAAGGATAGTATTTATTTGGAAAAGATGATTGTTTTGAAATACTTTGTCATGGCGTCTGTTGGCGGCGGTGATTTTGTTGAGAAGATCGGGTGATCAGCGCCGTTGTTTACAAAACATGACCATATATGGAAATAATACCCTTAAAAGGTAATGTATTGTTTAGTAGAGTTCCCGTATGTTTCTCCTCGTGTTGTTGTTTTGCTTTCTCCATCAGATTTTTACTCCTTGTGCAAGGAAAAGAAAAACGCTTGATCTTGCCTGAAGAATAATGTCTTCACCCAACAGAGATCAAGAAAGCGATGCACTGGCTCTGCTGGCCCTCAAAGCCAGCAAAACTTCGCCTGTTTCTGCGAGTAAGCCATTGTGGTTTGGTGTAAACAATATCACTCCGATAGCAAAGCTTGAAGGACGTGAATTCGAATATCTTGTCCGTCAAAATCGAATCATTATCGGCCGCAATAGCAGCCTTGGAAGCGTCGATGTAAACATGGGACATTCTAGTTTCGTTTCTAGAAGGCACTTGGAGATTCGTTATGAAAATGGTAATTTTTACCTGTCTTGTAATGGTAAAAATGGAATATTTGTTGACGGCGTTTTTACCAGACGAGGTGCTCCTCCATTGAAACTCTCGCCCGCGTAAGTCAAAATTTCAAATCTTTTTTAACCATATTTTGTTACCAAGACTTTCTATTTTCGTTGTTTTGTTAATATTTTATTATCTTTGGGTTTAGCTGTGTGTTAAGATTCCCTTCGACCAACGTTAAAATACGTTTTACCTCGCTGTTGAATGATGGTGTTCCTCGACGAGTACCAAGTCCCCCCAAAACAAAGACCCAGCTAGCACCTTTGAAAATAAACATTCCAGATCACGATGCTTCATTTTCTTCGCCAATCCCTTCTCCAACCGGGACAATAAGGTGAGTTTTTCTTTGAAATCTTAAAACAATCTAACAGTACATTACCAAAGAACAGTGGACTAAAATTGCACCGGTTAAAAAACTTGTTTATCGTCGCTAAACTGGAAAGCAACAGTGACACATAAGATAATAACAGCTTGTTTATCATTCAAGTTTTCATGTATTTTTATTTTTTAAACACTAGGATTTGTCTTAATGGCTAAAGATAGTCTTCTCATGATTTGATTCGTAGTTAATTACAAAAAGTGTTCCTATAAACAAGCAAAAATTTTTAGGAATTTGAAGGATACCTCGTCAACATGAGAGATTGCGAAATACTCAAAAACAAACTTAATGATTCAATTTTGACACCACGTGTTAGTCTTTGATTTTTGCGTTCAAGTCCATCCTTTTCTGTGCAATTATATCCGTTTTAGAGAGTCTGATTTCCCGAGAAGGATTCCCAATTGAATCTAAATTTGAAAACTGATTCAAACGCTTCCATAACATTCTTTTCCCTTTGATGACCAAGAAGTATTGGTCGTAATTTGAAGATGTTTTACTTCCATGATGACCCTAAAAGGGTTAGATTTGATTTGGTGAAAAATAAGTTATTCTACAAAAATCTTTAAAAAAGGATGATCATTGTTATCCTTCTTACCATCAATCTGTGCGTTCATAGCTTAGTCACTGTATGTTCTTGATCGTTTGATCGAGTATATATAATACAAACAGTAGTTTTGGTGGGTTTATTGTTTTCAATGTACAAAAACGTTTGAATACTAAACAACTCACACTTCTTTTGATTGTTTAAACTGCGTACAGCAAGTAATTCTTTTTTCTTACAGGATTTAACAAAGCTGTGTTGTTTTTTGATCAAAATTAAACTCCTTATTTTATTTTTTATCGCCATCTGTATGTTGCTTGTCTGACAATTATTGTAATTTTGTCGATATACGTGAGATGTAGTTTTCACCGCTAGTCAAAAGCAAACAATTAAAAGTCTTTAGATTCAAGACCAGTTTTTTACTTCCTTTGATTATTCTCTCTAAAGTATCTAAAGCTTCTCCATCAAATTCATTTTATCTTAGAATGTTAAGTTTCTACACCACCTCTCACTTTGTTTTGATTCGAAAAAAACACTGGGTAACAACAATAAGGTTTATTAAGTGTGTCTGATGCTCAAAAAAACAACTTGAAATACCCATTCCATTTTTCAAGTCTTCATTGTCCTAATCAAATAGATGTAGTTTCGCAGTCAAAGTAGATGCTTCAGGCTTGAGATTTTGTGCATGGAAGTTAATTTTAGAAAAAAAAATTTTAAAAAGTAGTGAAAAAGAAAGATACAGGAGGAGGATTTTCATCTAGTTTCATAGTTCACGAATTGGATCTACGTTATATTGCAATTGCATATAACTTGTAAATGCAGCTTGTTTAGCCAGAGCATGAAGTTAAAATCAAAGAAAATGTATGCATAATTTAAAAAAATGTGCATCTAGATTTTTCTGAAAGTATTAAAAAATGTGGAAGTAATCAGAAAATGCAATTTTGCTAAGCACTGCTTTCCTTCCTTGAATTGTAATGTACTTCTCATGGAAATAAACCTCTCACTCATACACTGGCTTTCTTTTCCTTTTGCTTACATGGCTTTACACTCCTAAAAAATGCATTTGTTCATTCTTTTTTCTTTTTTCCTTTTTGCTTTCCTTCCCTTTATTTCCTATCCCTTTTTTCCAGTTTCTTCTTTCCACTACTTCCTTCCTCCTTTCTTTGCTTTTGTTTTCTTTTTCACCATGTTAACTATATTTCAGAGAGATTATAGTCAAAACCCTATCTAATTTTATAAATGACGGCAATATTATTATAAATATTATTGTAAATATTATTATTCCTTAAAGCAATTTGCCACTTAAAGACAATCTTATGTTAATATTTTCCATAGATTATTTCTTTTCTTTTAGGAAATTGATACAGTGACAATGTTTCCTTCCTACTTCGAGACACTTCTTATATTTTTGCTTACATGAGCATTATTTACACTTTATCCAGACATTAAGATGAGATTTTGTCAAACCACACACTTATAACCTACACAATACCTGTACAATACTCACCCAGTACTTTTATTTATTTTATTCAATTATAATGTTTTTTGATATGATTTATTACCTGTCAGATGAGAAAAAATGTTCAATATTGTAGCTTATTATTATTATAATTTAATTACTGTATCTGAAATTGGAAGTTGAGAAAAAAGAGAAACTCAATCAAAATTCCAGATTGTCAATAAAAGTTGTTATCAGCAAAAGATCAGTGCAAGAGGTAATAATTTTTTTATAATTAAGTTGGGGGAAAAATGCAGAAAGATATTAGAATTGATAATTGTTAGGTTTATTGTAAATATTTGTGATGTCTAGGCTAATTGTGGTTAGAAATAACTGGGAAAAATACAGCATATGTGATATCTTTTCTTTCAAATTGTGAATCAAAATAAGGTGTTGGATTTTATTTTATTAGCTCAATTCGTAGAATTTCTTGGGTTTGATGTAAAAGAATGCTTTTATTTTGAAATATTTTGATATGATAGCATTCATTGATACTGAGTATTAATGGATTTTTTTCACTAGAGGAAGGAATTGAATCATTTGTTACACCAATTTGGTGCTTATTTTTCAAACTTTCTTTACATATAGGCTGATCACAGTCTCTTTGTAAAAACTGTGATGTGCAGTTGAGAAGAGAGATTATAGGGCGTGAAATGTTTAGTAATATGGTTGACTTTCATTTGTCGTACCCACCATGTAATGTTTACGAGTGCTGTGTTGTATCAAATTTATGACACAAGCTGGAGGCAAGTGATTGTAAATCTGATGCAACTTGGACACAAATGTCATAGACTCCTTATTCAATGTTTGGGTAAATAATTTTATGTATTTAAATTTCAAAGATTTAGATACTAAGGTTTTGCTAAAAAAAATCCATGTTAAAAGGTTATGCAAATGAACAGGATATTGTATCAGATATACAAAATTCTTCATGGTTTTGATTTCTATTGTGTTTCATTCTCGAATTATCAATGAATTGAATAAAATGATCTACAATCTGAAAGAATTCTGGGTTCTATATACATAATTTATAATTTGCAAAGTATTTTATTCCAAAGCCCACAATCACTCCATATGATTGATGATTGAGTGATATTTTTTTGCAATCAGATGTGGTTTGGTTTGCATATATTAATTGTGCTCTATACACTGAATGTAGAATTAGGCAGAAATTTTAAAAATATGTTCTGCTTGCATTTTTCCAGTGTTCCCAACTCATGTCCTGCAAGCCCAAGCAATTCTAGGGAAGATCACAAGTTTGTCAGTAATTTACGAGCTGTTGCAGAATATGCAGCTAACGTTTCACATGCCACCAGTAATTCCAGCTCTGTGTCATTGGATTCCAAGATGGAATCAAATGCTGATGGGGGCAATAAAGAGGATGGCAAGCCACCATACTCATATGCACAGCTTATCGTACAGGCAATCTTGACAGCACCTGACAAACAATTAACCCTCAGTGGTATATATGCGCACATAACTAAGAATTATCCCTATTATCGCACAGCGGATAAGGGCTGGCAGGTAAGTGTATAACATTTTTTAGATTTTTTTTCATTTTCCCTCAAGTGAAGAGAATAAGAATAACACTTTAAAAAATAGTTATTAGGATTAGTATTAGGAAATGTGCATTAATATATATATATTTTTTTGTTTTTTTGTTTAGAACTCCATTCGTCATAATTTATCATTGAATCGCTACTTCGTAAAAGTGCCTCGTGCGCAAGATGAGCCAGGCAAGGGATCATTCTGGAGAATAGACCCAGCTTGTGAGCAGAAGTTGTCAGAACAAGCCTTTAGAAAACGAAGGCAGAGGGGTGTCCCTTGTTTCAAGCCACCCTTTGGTGTAGCATCTTGCAGGTATGTCTTACTGTCTCTGGTGGCAAAGGCAGCATGCATGCAGTGCTGTCTCTCATCACTTAGCAGTTTATACCTGGGGTCGTAGGCTTGATTCCTCACTAAACTGTTACTCCCTCCCTTGCGACCAGGGATTTTGTCCCTGTTCTCCAGTTTTTCTCCCTCCCTAAGAAACAGTTTCAGCCAAGCAATAATCATTTTGTAGCACATCCATGACCTTTACTTTTTCATTTGAAATATATTATGAAACCAAGTCAGATCGGTGTGAATCAATAAATTAACTCCAAATTTGTATTATTTCATATTAATAATTTCTAGGGCCCTACTAAAAATCGCCTTGGCGAGTAGGCACCATAGTAAAATATTATTATTATATTTCTATTTATAATTATTAAATTTTCCCCTCTCTCTAGGTCTGCTCCAGTCTCACCCACCCATGGTCTTCGATTGCCACCTCCATCAACACCACCCGCAACACACTCCCGTGAGTCATCACCGACAAAAACAGTACCACCACCTACATCTGGGGAATCCACGCCTCCTATCTTCTCTTCCAGCATAAACAACACTGTGATGTCCTCTCCCATTGCTAGGCATGCTATCCCAGTCCAAAACCTTCAAGCTATTCCAGCCAAGTTTGCATTGCATCAACTCCCAGCAGCAAAACTCATCCCAGCTGCTGCTTTCCCAGTCAGCGTCATTAAGTCTGCTGGGGAAGCAACTAAACAAGTAGATGGGAATGAGCCAGAAAAGAATGGGCTGTCACAGTCGTCAGGAGAAGAATCTCCCACTGAGAGCCCTAAAGTGGTTTCCCTTGACAACAAACAACAAATGTCATCATCACTGAAAAGTATTCCTGCAGTATCATTGGTTGTTAGCTCAGGTAAGCACCACTGTTTTTATTGCTACACGCCGCTGATCAAGAAAAAAAATTGTAACAAGTTACTGGTAATCATCAATAGAGGCTTTGCAACAAAAGAATGTTTTCCCCTTGGAAATTGAGTTCTTTCTCATGTAAATCAGATTAGATCAGATTGATTAGCAGTTTTGCACCATCAAGTGCCCATCCCATAATACTGCTTGGGCTTCCTGTGGTTAGATGGCAGAACAATAAAATCCCTTTGCTCTAGGGAATTTAATTCTTTCTCATGTAAAACGATTGTATTGCTCCTGCCTCCAGTCATGGCTGCCATCACTTGATGTTGTAAAGATTCTACAGGCTACCATCAACCGTATTAGTTGTTCCCCTGTACCTTCCCTAAGTTCCCAAGTACCATTAACTAATTAAGTTTTCAGACAAGTGCCTATCTTCATTAGTTACTCAACCCGTATATGTAATTTCCAGCATTATTCTTGATACTGATCAATTTTATTGCCATTAAAGCTGGTGTCCTCACTCCTGCACCCACTCCTACCAATGTGTCGCCAACTGGCCAAGAACCTATCGCAAAACCAAGACTCCCAGCACCGTTAGTCGTCACTAGCATAGCAACATTGACCCCAGAGTCCTCTCCGCTTGGTGTCCTCTCACCTTCTGCTACCACTGCTGCTGTTTCCATGGTGATGAATAGTGCCAAGCGCATGCTTAACCCTAGTATGCATGCAGGACATGGCAATCAAGAGCCTGAGGCTAAAAAGTTTAAAGCTGAAGCTGAAATAATACCCAAGGAAAGTCCATCAGAATGAAATGCTTCCAACAAGGCTTCTTAATTCATCTTTCATTAATTATCTGCTGTAGGAATTGGATTCCATGTCTTGATAGTAAAGCTGAGTGTGGCTGGCTTTAATTTGTTTTACAGATAAATAGCTCTGTGAGCTGTGGAAACCTTAATAGTGATGTGCCAATGACTTTACTCCTGTACTTACTAACAGACAATTGCCATATATACATGGTGATGGAAAAGGCTTAAGACATTGAACATGAAAAAACCTGCTTGCTCTATATGTAATATAGAGTATCTAATGGTAAGAAAATATGTGCAGGCGCAACAAGAATCACACTTAAATATATTAAAAGTGTGTAAAGTATACCATGTACAGGATCTAGAGAAGACAGTATAGCAAGATGCATGCCATGGATATATGGAAACTCTTTGTGGTGGTGGACGCTTGTCCTTGCACACCATTGACATTATTAACCCCAATTGCCGAGTTTCCATGGGAACAATGGAGACAGATCTATTTGTTCCAAAGAAAAGTTTTCCTGTCCTGTGGACTTTGTTTTAAGACTCGGCTTTTGAGTCTGCATGAAGACACATTCTGAAAGTCATTTGAAGAAGAATTCACATGCCAAAGTGAAATGACAAATCAGCTTTAATTTGAAAAGTGGACAAAAATATAGGTGTATATTGTTGTGTTCCTCTCTTATACATTATCTTCAGTAAATCACCCACTATATCAAAACAACTTTTTGTACCTCATCAACCATGAAGTTTATAAAAGTTGTAAAACGATTAATACCTATTATGCATCTCATTCTGCCATTTTCAGATGCATCTTAAGTATTTAAAGCCATTTTTTAAATATGACTATAATAACTTATCCTTTTTTGGCACTTTATTTCTAGTAATAGGTAGTTACAGATATATTTTTTTTATTTAGCTTTCTCTATAAAACTTAAAGCTGGTGATTTATTTGCAGGTTTAAAGGGAGGAGCACTGACAATTTCCATCCAAAAACAAAAAATAAGGGAATGAACTTTTAAAAAAGTAATGTTAAAGATAAAGTATGTATGGGCCATTATGTTTTCTTGAAATAGAATTGTATTAACGAGTTTGTGCAAAGTTTAAGTCAATCATGCAAAACATGGAACGTGGACACTCAATGTTTGCATTCGTGTAGTACCTGAATCATCACTATTTAAAAATTTACCATGTCACACAAAAAAAGTGAAGATTTTGTTGCAATGTTTCTAACCAAGCTTGAAATGTATTGTGGAACATGTATATCAGTACAGAAGAATATACACCTATTTCAAAGAACGTTGTCTTCGCCTAAAGGGATAGGCAAAAAGTAATAGGAGATAGGTCATTCCAAGATCCAAGAATAGCTGGAATGACTTGTTTTTCTGCTGCTTATTCTCATCAAGAATATGGACCTTAGTGTTGAGACTGATTCAATATTCCTTGTTTTCAACGAAACCATTTCTGTCTCGGAAAAACCTATCGCCTTTGACGATGACAACGTTTTTTAAAATAGGTGTATACTGGAAAAAGGTGCAGAGGCAAAGTTTGAGAAAATTCCAGATATTGTTGTGACCTCAATGCAATTCGAGCTTGGCATGAAACAAGCAAAACCTTAATCTACCCATTTTAATATATATATTCACGAGTTTCTTAGTTTAATAACGAAGGCCTTCTTCAAAGACATGTCTAATACCCACTCGCTATTGAGAAAACATAATGGCTCATCTTAAGATACCCTTGATTCAAACTTATTTGCAAGTGAAGATTTAGGTGTGCATTACCAAAGAAAATTTAAAATCTCCTTAAGAGTAAAATAGGTTTAGACAGTAATATTTATAGTTATGTAGATTGTATAAGTACAATTATTGTGTAGGAGTCCATTTAAAGGATTTACTGGGCTGGTGATATCCTTGTGCTCAGTGTTCATTGATTGTCTTGCATTGTGAGACGTATTCTGTGAGATCGATAATCGTCAGTGTTATAACATGTCAGTAGTAATTCTCATTGAATCACTGTCCAAAATTGAATCAGAACGATATAAAATACAACTTGCTTAACGTCTGTGAACTCTTTGTGTGACCAGTACAACGGCTCAGGAAAAACTTGCGTTTTGGACTTCCTGACTTTATTATGCGATGAAAATCAAATATACGGTAGATTGATTAATGACTCCCGTGAAGGAGTTATACATCAGTAATTAAAACTGACTCTACCAGGAACGACAAAGTTATAATACAGAGCTTCTGTTTGTCTTCACAACACAATATATGGCACCCAGGGTAAACACACTAGGACAACACGACGATCTCTCTTGTCACACTGCTCACGATACAATCACGCTAGTCACTATACAATCACGTCACAATACAATCGCGTTTCTAAACACACTAGCACGCGCTAGATACGAGTTGGAAGGCAAAAATCCTACCTAGAAAGTTGGAAAAAAACTCTGTTTCGTCAAGATAATTGGTATTTAAGTTAGTGCCAGTGTTGTCAGTCTTCTTGCAATTGCATCCAGCATGTTTATGTTAGATGAGCCCAGTTTTCGTTTTTTCGTTATTTCATTTCTTCGAAATCCCATCTAAGGTCTATGTTTCCCAAGCGATGACGCCGAGCTAGATAATTTCTGCCGATAGTTGCTGATATATCGACCACAGGCATCTACATGCTTCCTATCAGGGAAGGCAAAATGGTAGGGCTGTTACCTTACCACTTTTATCTTGTATATGATATGATACTGGACGATATTGCCGGTGATTTACAAATGACAAAAGGGTGTCGCTAGAAAAAAGCCAACCATTTTGAGGGTGCTCTGTGGGATCTTTTCCGGATTTTTCTCTTTATTTATTTATTTATTTATTTTTTGAAGTAAGGGTGAGCAAAGCACCTTCGGGAACCCAGGGGTAAAATTCTATCACACTGTTATTATTAAATCTTTCCTTTATTCAATTTTTCTTATAATCTAGTATCCTAAAAGGTCCTAAAACATAGTATCTGCATATGCGTCTTTATTAAGTAGAAGCTACTAATAGATAACTAATTTTTTTTAATCATCAGGGGTAAAATTGTATCACACCGTGTTATTAATATGTCTCTTATGAATGTGTCCCTTATCCTAAAAGGTCCTAAAACATAGTATCTAGTACATGTACGTCTTTATTACTATCATTAAGCTTCAAGTAGATCTGAAGCTACCAACAGATAACTAATTTTTTTTAATCTTCAGGGGTAAAATTCTATCACACTGTTATTAATATTGAATCTGTCCTTTATTTAGTTTTTATTATAATCTAGTATCCTAAAAGGTCCTAAAACATATTATCTAGTACATGTACGTCTTT